GAGATAATGAGCAAAGCAGAGTTACGGTAGTATTTCAGTGTTATTATTATAGGCATTAATAGATGAACATTAATAAATTCAGGGCGATTTCGGTGTAAAATTGGATAGGTTATCAAATTTGGATAAAGAATTCGAACGGAGGTTCAGAGAACGTAAACGTCCGATTGGATTTGGTCAAAATAAANAGCAGTGATATCTTTTGAATTCAATTATTATTCTCAATACCATGAGTGAAATTTATGAAGCAATTAAGGAACCATCAGCAAATAAAGTGTTGGCAACATTTTATATAGAAGCGCAGTGTGGTGATACGACGAGATTTGTTCATGACCAGTTATGGCCATCATGGCAGAAGTTGTACGATACGAATCAGATCATCTGGAGGGTTGTTCCGTTCGGAAAAGCGCAATGTTATAGTCAACCTGACAATGATTACAAGTCACTCTTTTGATTATTACTGTTACTTTCACTATTATTCTTATGATTACCAATGCATTTGTATACGTATGCTCATAAATTTGATCTTCTCAGCTACATTTATAAAGATTTACTCAGCATTCCACACCCATATATAATAAATCAATTGAGAGCACTCACTCACCACCACATAAATTCAATTTAACAGATAATGAATTGAAGGTGTGAATGTCAGCACGGTGAAGATGAATGTGAATTGAATCAATTGATGAACTGTGTTATAAAGCATGTTCGACGTATTGATCAGTATATGCCATTTATTAATTGTATTCAAGGCAAATCCAATATTCTAGAAGCTAGGAAACACTGCTTGGATGGACGGCATCATTCCGTTACTAGGTGATTTCATTTTTGATATTACCTGGATTATCTGGATCGGCCAGGCTTCTGATTTTTAATATTATTTTTGTTATTATTATCATTGTTTATGAGTAGATGGATATGGACATGTGATAATGTTAATGTATATGTATAGTTTATTGGATTGTGCGAGTGGAAAGGAGGGTCGGAGGTTATTATCAGAAGCGGGTGAATTGACGAAACAGATCGACTTGACGTTCGTGCCGTGGATTGAGCTGAACGGCAAACGGTCCGTGGATGCCATGTACGCATTACACGAGAATCTGTGCAATTTGATGCCAAATAAACCGAAACAGTGTTTTAACAATTGATTGCGCTCACTTATTCACATTATCTCGTTTGGATCACTTCACTTTTGATTCATTTATGGAATGATTTTGTTTATTATTGTCCCGATGATGTAGTTGTTAGAGTATCGAATTTCTCTAGTTTCATTTCGTTTTGTTTCTGATTATTAGTCATCATAAGCATCATCATAATGTGATATTCAATCGACGTATTCTTCCATCGATTCAATCGATCCGTTCTTGTATGTCCGTGAGTCACACCTCAAACCGTCTGTCTGTGTTACGCAATGAATTTTTGTTCGATGTACTTCACTTGGCCTCATCTCGATTTGTTATTTTTGCTTACTTATTAATTGTTGTTGTAAGGAATTTTCAAATGAATAAATGAATATTGCTTGAATTAAGTTTTTGATAGTTTGAATTGATAGTTCAGACCGTAGCTCCTTCGCAAGTTGTTCATCACTCGTATTACAGTTCTGTAGATTGGGGAAACAGAACTGACATCAACCAAACTTTATGAGAAAGCCCCACGTTCAAACATTATTCATAGTGATGGGATCTGATGAGGGGAATTTCATCTGATTGTGAGGTTGGAACCGGATCTGCATGAAATTTCATTATTCCGACCAGCTAGTTGCACCTGAGATTCACAGTGTATTGTCGGATGTAGAAAGCAACATTCAGGCCTCCATTCGTTAATTTTATTGCATTGTTTTCGGATAGTAATCATGACTTTG